ATGGGGGAGAGTTCATCTAAAACTCCAGATGCCGGGGAAAAGCAAGCTGGACCCCAGCTTTGTTATTAGGACGATAAAGCTGTCCGATAGAGTATTGATTAAAATGTTTAAATTTAATATTCGCTTTTAAGTACAAAAAAAAAAAATATGTGTATTCAGAACATTTTCGACTGTCTTCAAATTTGGACCTTTTTCGATTAAATTAATCAATTTTATTTTCTGAATTTTTATTCCTATACCTTATGAAAGTATGAATGTCATAAAGTTTCAAAAAAGTGTTTTTAATCTAATGAGATTTATACTTAATTAGGCCTAACTTAACACAGATGCCAAAATTAAAATAGTTTAATGCAATAGTTCAATCTCTTTTATTTCAGTGTCTCAGGTCAAATCTACCGATTCATCAATAAGTGCGAAGTCGATGTACAATTATTGTCAGCGGAACATAATGTGTATTAAATTGCCGGAACACAAGATGCTATCAATAGCTGGATTTATGTGGTTTTAGTTCCACAAATAATCGCGAGCGGATATTTATTAGGATTTATATCACTGGATCGCCGGAATTGAATCAAATTTGCCAATTATGTTTCTTATACAACGAACAAGCAATTCTCGAACGATATTACATGCTTAGATATAATTAGACCTAAGCATTATATATATTATATTATATTATATAAAACTAGAATCTTTATATTCTATTTATATTACTTTTATATAGTTCTGATGTAACATTTCCGAGTATGATTGTAAGAAATAAAAGTAAAGTGTAGTGTAATTTATAATACATCATTTTGTGTGTATTTCCTTTGTCGTAATTTCATTAATAATAATATTATATATTTAATGGGTATTAATCAGTATATAATCGAATTAAATATATTATAATCACTTCGATTCGAATATACCACTATTACAGGCTACTATATCTTCACAAATATACAATTAATATATTCACATGACACCAACAAATTACGAAACTTTTCAGAGGAAGGTGCTGTCGAATTTTACAAAACAGGAAATGACGTCGGTTGCTAGGTTACAGCTCATGCATATTCAGTAACACCTGTGCTCATTAGACTAACAATAAAAACTTTTAGCTCAGTTTTGACAAAATCGACCAAAAAGATTTTATTGTTAGTCTAATTAGAACAGGTGTTACTGAATATTCATGATTATGCATGACCTTGTTGCTTAGCAACCACGTCATTTCCGGTTTTATGTTGGTGTTGAGGGCGTCTTCGAAAGAATTGCTAGTTTATGGTTTAAAGTAGGACATATTGATGAAGCAATGCTTCACTTTTGGTTTAAGCTTATAAGCTTATTATAATAAGGCTATTTTAGCAATTGAAGTTATAACAGTAAACATAGACATTAAATAAGATGAAGAAATGCACAATTCCATTTAATATTTATTTTCAAGCATTAAAATAAAGTTGTGATATATATACATTTTATATTTATATACTATAGGCCTATATCATGTACATCCGGCAAAAATCAATAAATCTGAATTTAATCCTCAAATGTTATATCCTATTATCTTACATGTCTAGATTTTCTTTACAACAAACGGGTTTTTTTCTCTATTAATAACATAAACATTAGCAGTAATAATACAATATTAATAAACATAAATGCTACAAGAATTACTACATATTGCTAGCATTATTTTTGAGATTATTGCAGAGGAAAACTTTAAAAAAATAAAATTTACACTATATTTTAATTAATTTCATATCCATAATTTTTGCAGGAAGCTTGATGAGTGACACAATTTTTGGCTACCTATGAATAGGCCTCATTGGTAAGTTCTGTTGCTCTTTCACGATTGAGTCCTGACATTCTTTCCTGATAGTTGTGGCTTCTTTGTCTACATCACTGGAATATAAAAATATTGAGAAAAGATTAGGAAACAGAGAAAGAATTATAACGGAGTATTATCAAAACATCATATATAAATAAAAACAGAGGCAGAGCCAATAGGTTTGGAATAGTGGGGGCCCACGGGGAGGAACTTTGCCGGTTGGATTCCCACCACTTCAGCCCCACCATGGTTGGGGCTGAGGTAAGATACTTCGATTATGGCACCTCTAGGTGGCTAGAAATGGCACTCATAGATTTTAAATTCGGATGTAATTTTCTTTTTTTTCTCCAATTGTTTTACCATTTTAAAAGATTTAGGGTCGGGGGGAGGGGAGGCAGGCCGGCTTCTATCCCCCAGGGGATCCCCCAACCTGAACATTATCATATTCAGTTATCGCAATTATTTATAGTATCATCATACCACAGAATGATGTGAGGATTATTAAATACATGGCATTGATTAGAACTAGAAGATCGCATTAGCGCAAACAAATTGTGTTAGCATTCCGATTGTCATGGGTAAATAAAATTTATAAAAAGTGTACTATTCGATAGAAATGAATATATAGATTACTATAACTATAATCTTCATACAAACATTTTCAGGATATAATATTGTTTGAATGATTGATTGAATTTATTTGATGCCCAACATACATAAGCAAGATAACAAACGGATTGAGATCAAGAAAAGTAAAAATTACCGGTAATGAGCATCAGGAACGCCCATTAGGCCGGAGTCCAGCCCATTTCCAATGATGTCCAATTTAAATATACACTGTCTTGAGCTGAAAGATAAATAATTTAATTCCATAACTGAATAATTATATTTAAGTAAGTTACAAACTTACAATTAAATATATGAATGACAAAAGAGTTTTCCTGTAAATTAACAGACAGTTAAATTATACCAGTGCTATATTCTTATTTATACATAGACTCTTAAATTGGCTGTAGTGTAGATTTTGTAGTAAAGTGTTCGTCAAATTAGGAAAAAATGTCGATAGGGGGTCCAACAATTCTGATCGGGGTCTAAAACAAGGGGATGACTAGAGCCTTGTTCAGGGTCCCGGAATAAAATCCCTGGGGTGAGGTTCATGGGGAGAAATCTTACGGTACAGGATCGCCCATGTGATTTTTGACGAGGGAGTTGATGTATATACGTTATGGTAACTTAGACTACATGAGCAAGGCTAGTTGCGTTTCCAGTTAAAAATAATGCTTAGTTTACAGCAACATGTGCTACCAGGGATCTGTCAATCTCAGCTTAGCAAATGTCTTAAGTCAAAAAAAGTTAAGATGTCCCTAAAGCAAATATCTTAAGCTGATTTATAAACAATCTTAGCAAAATCTTAGCTTAAAAATTGTCTTTGATGGCGCATGCGTACAGTCGACTTTTAAATTTTAAGCATGAGATAAGCAATATTGATAAATTTTGACTAAAGACAATTTTAAGCCGATTTTTAGTTTGATATCTGGCCCCAGCATACCAACTTATGCGGAGTTATATAAGGACAGGCTGAGGTTATGTACTATTCAATAGAAATGAATATATAGATTATTATAACTATTTTCAGGATATAATATTGTTTGAATGATTGATTGAATTTATTTGATGCCCAACATACATAAGCAAGATAACAAATGGATTGAGATCAAGAAAAGTAAAAATTACCGTAATGAGCATCAGGAACGCCCATTAGGCCGGAGTCCAGCCCATTTCCAATGAGGTCCAATATAAATATATATACTGTCTGTCTTGAGCTGAAAGATAAACAATTTAATTCCATAACTGAATAATTATATTTAAGTAAGTTACAAATTTACAATTAAATATATGAATGACAAAATTGTTTTCATGTAAATTAACAGAAGTTAAATTATACCAGTGCTATATTCTTATTTATACATAGACTCTTAAATGGGCTGGTAGTGTCGAATTAAAGATTTTGTAGTAAAGTGTTCGTCAAATTAGGAAAAAATGTCGATAGGGGGTCCAACAATTCTGATCGGGGTCTAAAACAAGGGGATGACTAGAGCCTTGTTCAGGGTCCCGGAATAAAATCCCTGGGGTGAGGTTCATGGGGAGAAATCTTACGGTACAGGATCGCCCATGTGATTTTTGACGAGGGAGTTGATGTATATACGTTATGGTAACTTAGACTACATGAGCAAGGCTAGTTGCGTTTCCAGTTAAAAATAATGCTTAGTTTACAGCAACATGTGCTACCAGGGATCTATCAATCTCAGCTTAGCAAATGTCTTAGTAAAAAAAGTTAAGATGTCCCTAAAGCAAATATCTTAAGCTGATTTATAAACAATCTTAGCAAAATCTTAGCTTAAAAATTGTCTTTGATGGCGCATGCGTACAGTCGACTTTTAAATTTTAAGCATGAGATAAGCAATATTGATAAATTTTGACTAAAGACAATTTTAAGCCGATTTTTAGTTTGATATCTGGCCCCAGCATACCAACTTATGCGGAGTTATATAAGGACAGGCTGAGGTTATTTAATTTATTCCCTTTGGAGGTCAGAAGAAATGCCAGCCGGCGTGTTGTACTTTTTGCTAAATATTTCTCCTCTAATTTCCCCACAGGTCTGGCTTATCCTTTTCCTTTTTGAAAATCCCATAGATCCCTCTAATCAAGGACTTTATTTATTAAATTGGTAATAAAAAAAAAATAAAGAAATATCCGTGCACACATGACATATAAAGGGAGTGAGAGAGTCGCTCAGCCATGTACGTCTCGTGCCTGGTTTTTGAAATGTATCTGTATTTCAGATGTATTGAAAATGTATTTCACATTTCGACTTTCTTTTGGAGGGGCGCCATGAGCGTTCCTCTTAAACGGATACCGACACTTTATAAATTTTCATTATTATTATTATCATTCTTATTCTTATTAATTATTATTATTATTATTATTATTAGCCTATTATTATTATTATTATTATTATTATTATTATTATTATTAGCCTATTATTATTATTATTATTATTAGGCCTATTATTATTATTATTATTATTAGGCCTATTTATTATTATTATTACTATTATTATTATTATAATAATTATTGTTACAGTCCTATATAAAATGTTCAACTGTTCTGTATATTCGAAAAGCTGAAGTGTGCAACCGGCCACCACCTAAATTATTACAAAATTAATTCGAAAATGGAGAAAAAAAAATGAAAATTGTATTCATATTTAAGTAGTTTCCGGCCATCTAGAGCATGGACCATTGAGGTGACATAATCATAAATCCATATGTGAAAGTCTCCTGGATCCCCTCTATTTCGAATTTCTGGATCCGTCAATACAGTAGTAGCTTTATTTGATATTGACATCATGGAAGTACACATCCCCAAAGATATTAATATCAATATACATAAAGACGGTGTCATTTGGGGCCTACCCTGATCACTTTCGCTTTCTTTTAAAAATAATATTGAAAATATTTTTGTTAGGCTATAACAAATTTCGATTATTTAGGATTAAAAGTTGTGTACCAGATAATTATAGGCTCTTGGTAATAAATTGCATATATTGTCAATGAAAAACTAGATACGAATCTACAATGTAAACAACGAACGGAAGTTAACAAGCCTCTAAGCTGTACGGTAATTACTGTAAATAACGATTTTAGCCAGTTTTATCGAGTCACTGTGTTGTTGAATAGAATGCAGCATGTCAGTGCATGCTTCTGTCGAGGAAATTGTCAATGCCTTCAAAGCGGCTGCCTAACAAACGTAGTCAAAATAATAACCATAGAATGATGACAGAATTCCCATTTAACTAGTGAATTAACGATTCAAAATGTTCAATACTGTACTTACATTTGTTATTAATTGTAAAGTCTCCTTCGTAGTCCATTGAGTAATGTTTATATTTAAAACGCCACCTGGAGTGGTATAAAAAAACATTTAATTATTCTTTTTCTAATACGCCATTCCTTTATGACGATGAGGATGATGAGGGTGAAGATGATGATGATAATGATAATAATAATAATAAAGATAAAAATAATAATAATAATAAACAAATATTTATATTGCACCAATATCAATAAAATAATATGATGCCTCAATGATTAACAATAAAATAATAATAATAATAATAATGATGCCGTTGATAATGATGATGATAATACTAATACTACTACTACTACTACTACTACTACTACTACTACTACTACTACTACTACTACTACTACTACTACTACTACTACTACTACTACTACTACTACTAATAATAATAATAATAATAATAATAATAATAATAATAATAATAATAATAATAATAATAATAATAATAATAATAATGTTGGTGGTGGTGGTTATGATGATATTGATGATATTGATTGCGATGATGATGATGATGATGATGATGATGATGGCGGTGATGATGATGTCGATAATTATTATTATGTTGATGATTGTAGGATAAAAAAAAAAAGGCCTTGTTTTCCCATCCAGTACTGTACTGCCTACGCCAAGCCAAATCTGTCTCAGCAATCGCTTCTTCTGGGCCTGATCAGTCATGCAGAACATCTAGAAGTCCCAATGTTTAAAAAAAATATCGTTTTGGAAGGAGATGACACCCCACCCATACCCACTCCCGGTTCGGGCCTTCGGCCCTAAGATAACGCTGCACGCTATAGTTACACTCATAAATACTTAGCCCTCCTAGTCGGACATCTTAGTCCCCTAATAAATTATATCCTAGAGCCGCCCCTGTTCACACACTCCATCTGTGAATGTCCCTCCCTGCCTCCACCCCCACCACCGCAGATCTCCCGGAAATGACCCCTGTATTAGGTGCGTTCTTTTTGTAGGCAGATTTTTTCGGATTCGGCCAACGGATTCTTAAACACAGAGAGTTGTAGCAGCTAGGTTTGCCAAACGATATTGTTTCGGTGAAATTGTGCCTGTCGTGCCAAGATGCATGAAGACTGTAATCACATCACCCTTTGATTTTGTTTAGTTCCAAAAAATAGACAGAAATATTGAGATGGTGTTCATCAGAGAACTTTAATTATTAAAATTAAAATGAAATGTCCTGTTATTACTGTAGGTGAATCCATAATCTACAATTCATTATTATTTAGACCTATGGTCAATATCAAGAAATTTAATGTCACCTTTTTTGTTGCAGCCCCCAAAATCCGGATTCACAAGTACCGGGATGGATTCTGGTGTGAGATAGTCTCATTCTTCAAAACTTCTACATGAAAAGTGTAATCATAGATAAATCTTCTACCGTATTTATTTGAATAAACATCCCATCTAGAGCCTCATTTGAAATAAACGCCTTCATTTGTTTCTCAAATAATCAACTCCCCACCCAACCAAACGACTGTAAACAAAGCAACATCATTGTCAACAGATTCTATTGATTGTCTACTCCAGTAGTTTTTTTCTTTCATTTTGATAGTAATTATGTGTTGTAGTGAAATTTAAGGTCATATATTTTTAGTATATAGGCCTACGCATCTAATTCACACCAAAAGAAAATAATAATAATAATAATAATAATAATAATAATAATAATAATAATAATAATATTAATAATAATAATAATAATAACAACAATAATAATAATAATAATCATAATAATAATAATAACAACAACAACAACAATAATAATAATAATAATAATAAACGCCCCTCAAACCCCTGCTTAACAATGGAAGTCCCTGGGTGTTTACAATTGTTCTCATAATCAAGCAGTCAGTCTCGCATCTTCACATCCCGCACTTTCAGTTTTCAAATTGGAGGGCTGACCAGAGGGAAAATGTATTTGTAATTTCTAATGATAAAACAATTTTAACTCTATATAATGTTTATATGAAAAACTAAAGAACAAATTGTTCCATAAACAAAAGTTGCCCACCGCCCTCTATTATAAATTTGTAGCGTTCATGTTAACTACTCTACAATTTCAAAATTTGTTTTTACATTTTCTATAATAACTGAAAAGACGAAATTACTTATACTCCTATAAAATATAATTATTTTTTTATTCAATTAAACTGGGGCCTTTATGTAGATAAAGTTGTTATTAAATGGATCATGGATGTTATAGGGTGGAGGAGTGACTGTTAACTTAGCTCACTGTACATTTAACATATTTACACATATAAACACATTCTTATGATTTAACTAATATTATTATTAAATATATATTTAAAAATGTAAGTCAAAAACAAAGACGATAACTGTATTTCTCAAAAAAAGAAAGATATAGGCCTATATATAACGATTAATGAAAGCAATGATTGAAATACAATAGGCCTACTTGATAGAATTAACATGAAAATGAATGCTATCAATCATCTTAATTATATAGTATATAAGCATGAGTATATATAGAAATTGTAAGGTACTTTACGTAATGTATAAATAAAAAATTGTGTACAACATAGGAGAATATTATATATATATATATATACATATATATATATAT